TTCACCTATGTGTATCTCTCTGGCTCTCGACATCACTGTAAATGAGTGAAACCTCGACGATCTATGAGAGTTTAAGTAAAATAAATGAGGAAATTTGATGCTGCTTTTTAGGTCCACACCATTTGAGAGGAAAAAAATGGTCACGCTTGGACCCTTTCATGTAAGCTAGGCTACCTCACCTGCAGGTGCCTGGGTGGAAACACTTCACACAACAGGGAATCTTACGTTTATGAAGTTTACTTAACTTCAGCGGGTGAATACAGAACACAGAGCAGTTTACATCAGTGATCTAGGCAGTTAAACTGTGCTGCGGATAAAACTGTGAAAAAAAGTCAAAACTTTAGATTTTTAATGTACAACTATTTTGATGTACTATGATATATGAAACAATCGATCTAGTTGAAATCAGTGCAAATCAGAGGCACAATAAGGAACTGGCAGGTGACTTAAAGGCTGCGGAGCCTCTTTAATTTCACCATGGTGGAGCCATTTTGTTGCAGCTGCAGAGAGGAAAGAGGAGCGGTGATTCTACACTAGTTCGTCTTTGACTGGATGTTTGGCAGGCGTGGCACACTGCAGCAGCACTGAACCAGCTGGCATCCACGGATAGACAGACAGGAAGAGGGAGGGAGGGAGGGAGGGAGGATGCAAGTAGAAAGCGACAGATGAAGAGGTGGAGGAAGAGCGAGGTGGATGTAAAGGGAGAAAAGAGGAAAGACACACTCATATAGAAGGGAAATGTAGTATGTTGCTCTGACTGACTTGTACCATCACCTCTCCTCCCGTGCACGGTGGTGCCGCTGAGCATCCCATCTCTCTCTCTCTCTCTCTCTCTCTCTCTCTCTCTCAAATTGAGTCATCATCTGCAGAGCCAGTGGTGCCAAATTACCAGCACCTATTAAATTGTTGCTTTTCCTAATTAGCTTCCACGTGAACTCGGAGGCTCAACGTCCCAAAAATGTGTGTCACTCTTATAATCCTTCCTGCAGAGTAATTTAAATCAGAGGTAGCTACCTTTAGGCTACGCTGTGGCTGGAGTCATTTCCAGGCCACATTAAATGATAGGATCTGTAATAAGACTGAAATGTAGCTCAGCTGATTGAGCCAGGTGAAGGAGGGAGCTCTTGTTATATTAATCCTAATGTGAAAATGATGGAGGAAAAATGAAGTCAGAAAGCGATTAAATGATTAATCCCACAAGGAGCTGGACGTGTGAATTGCGTAACTAAAGTTATATTGATGCATTTATGCAATTATGTAATCTGCTAAATACTTAAAAGGGCGCGCATGCAAATTGAATACGGTGACTCACGGCTACAGCACAGGTGCACGTGAGCGGAGGCAGGATTATCAGATTGAATCCAACCCAGAAACTGAAAACTAATTAAAACATTGTCAGACACAAGAGCTTTATCTCACCAACAAGTTTGTTTGGTGTTTTGAGGAAATTTTTAAGTGAGAACTTTCAGGGATGAGAGTGAAAGCTCAGGATTATTTCCAGGTTGCTGTGGCGTTCCTTGGGATTTGTGTGTGTGTGTGTGTGTGTGTGTGAGCTGGAGCCTAGTCACAGTGGACTCGAGGACGCACCTCCGCTGGCTGGAAATTTAAAATGTTCACACTGAAGCATGAAGACGAGGACGGTGTACACTCAGGAGAGAGACAGGTCACTACGCTATGTGGGTCAACAACACTGAGAAAAAGTAGATCCTCAGCATCTGCATCTAGTGCACGACGGCTTTAATTGTCGGGGTCGGTTCACACCAGACGACTCAAACATTTTAGGCTGTGGAACGCTCAGAATGAAGAGAAGTCAGTATCAACGTATTGGAAATACAAATAAAGAGTTCCTTCTAGCTTTCTCTAATTTCCTGGAAATGTTCTCAGTAATTTTCTGGTATGTAGGTTAACTCCTGTGACATCCCATAAAGAAATGTAGGCCCAACATATGATATATATGCCCCTATATCAAGAGTGATGTTGCCATATAAAGTGTGTCACCTGTAAGGGGATATACTGTGACAGATATACATTCTCTGGACATATAAAGGTATAAATTTATAATATATATGAAATATCCAAATGCCAGTTTATCAATACAATATACTTAAAACATAAAAAATCTTTTTGGCCTTTATGCATGATTTTCTTATTAATTTCTTCTTCTCATTCATTTTAAACATACATGTCTATATTTCATACTTACATATAACATATATTGATGGGCTTTGGGATGAATATATATTGATGAAACATATATCAGTTAGTAAGTAAGTACATTTTAGCATCTTTCACAGATAAAAATCACAAAGTGTTTTACATCATAAAACATACACAAGTTCAAGAAATATCAAAATAAAAGCAGTACAGTAAATAAAGAGCAATAAAATTAATTAAAATATGACAATAAAAGCAATAAAATAAGTGAAGAGCTAGACAATAAAAGGGGGAGGTATTCAAATAGACTAAACAAAAGCCTGTCAGAATAAAAATGAAGGCCTGGAGGAAAGCGTTCCATAATTTAGGAGCCACGGCTTGAAAGGCACGGTCGCCTCGAGTCCTACAGCAGGTTCGAGGGACGGCCAGTAATCTTTGCTCAGAAGACCTGAGAGCCCGACTTGTTGTGTAAAGGAGGAGGAGGAGGTCAGCAATATATTAAGTTTGACCATGCAAGGCTCTAAAGGTGAGCACCAGTATTTTAAAATGGATAAGGAATTTGATGGGGAGCCAGTGGAGGGAGGATAAAACTGCTGTGATGTGTGTTCTCTTGTTATTTCGGATTAAAAGCTGGGCAGCTGCACTTTGGACGGTTTGGAGACGATTCATAGAGGTTTGATCCAGACAGGTACAAAGAGCATTACAATAGTCTAAACCAGTAGAACTAAAAGCCTGAATAATCATCTCCAACTCGGCCACGGTCGCCACAGATCTGTGTTTTGAGCGTGTGAGATGGTTAACGTGATTATCAAGAGACAGGGACTGGATGAACATGACACCTACATTTCTAAGGTTGTGGTGAACACAACCATTCAACATCCCATACGTTGCTGGATTTTCTGGACCAATTATGAGATCTTCTGTCCAGCATAAGCATACATGTTTGTATTAGCTACACATATATGAAATTGTTCTAATTTCTGACAGGTTCTATGTAATGTCTACATATATATATATATATATATATGTACATATATGTACATATATGATTTTACTTCATATGTACATATATTTCATGTATGGAAATCAAACCATGTACATATATTACATTTGTGTTTGGGATAACAGTATGTAATTCAGTATATCAGTGCTGAGCATATAGAGAGTAATGTGTTTGGCTTGTTGGAAAATGAAGGTCACATATAATATTTTGTTTTATCCTGATAAAATGCATAAAATAATCAGGAATTCATAGGAAAAAATAAATAAGAGCTCCAATCTCCATAAATAATTGATAAATGATATTCTTTACAATTATTTTATTTATCTATTATTAGAAAGTGAGCAGTCTGGAGGATGGAGACCCACTGAAAGTGTAAAAAACATAAACACATTTCTGCTGTGTAGACTTTATGTCACAATCTGACCCTTATAAACTGTGTTTGGACACTTTTGACACTTTGACTTTTTATGTTTGGACTCTTATTTATTTCCTGTTTTACTTTGAAATGACCTCCTTTTGTGTCTGTTCTTATTTTACTTCCTGTCTTTGGACAATTTCGTGCCTTTGTGATTGTGTGCCCCGCCCTAATGTGTCACACCTGTGTTTTGTTACCTGCTCCCCTTGTGTGTATTTAGTCTCTGTGCTCCCTGTTTGTCTTTGTGGAGTTTCCTGTGTGTCTCGTGCTCCTGCTCAGTTTTCCTGGTTGCTTTTTCTGTTTTAGTTTCTTTTCCTTTTTAGTTCCTGAGTTTTGGATTTTGTTTATGGACTTCAGATTCTCTGAAACACCTAACTGATTGTGTTTTTTCTTTAATAAATCATTGCACTCTACCAGCCCAGTTTTTTTTTCATCTGCACTTGGGTCCTGAAATTACTAGTTCTGACACTTTAATCAGGCTTTATTCTAAACTTTGTTTATTTCCATAGGAATGGCTGGACAATTTTACCTCTTTAGTCTTAATAGTTGAGGTCTGGTCATAACCTGTAACATGTAGATACAAAAAAATGCATCTATATGTCACAGGTATTTCCAAAGTTGGTGAGGGAGTATTTAGAAAAGTACTATTTAATTCATTAAAACCCCAAAGGGTTACCTGAAGACATGAACACAGCTGATAACAGGGCTGCAGACAGGCAGCTGCCGCCAACGTCATTAGATGCTAATATTTGGTTGTGATGTCAGATAACCGTCACTTCCAATGTCTTCCAAACGTCTCATGCCACCGTCATATATATTGACATATAAAATACTGACAGTCAAGCCATTAGCAAAACCCAACATCTGCTAAATGTTAGCGTATCAGTTAGCCAACGGTGGGCTTTGAAGTCAACCGGATTTTCATTTCTGTCTGATGTAAGAGTCGTTAGAACCCAACGTCTTTCTGATGTCACACTGACGTCTGGTGCTGCTGGGACGGATGTTTTCGTAGCTCAGGAAAGTTGATGCTTTGGAGATATATGGTTTTCACATGACAGCGACAATAGTAAATAATATCTAAAACGTGTTTATTGATATTTTATTTCTGACTGAATTTGAAAGATAGTTATGTCAATATATTAAAATGTATTTGCCTACAGTGAAGTCTTGTTCTCACTTTACTCTCCTTTCTGCCACTTTAAAAGGTAATTCATTTGTACAATGACTAATATCATTTTTCAATTGAGAGATTGATTCAAATTTTCTGTGTTTCCTGTTAACACTTCACTTCTGAGTGAAATTTGAAAGGAAGAAACTGAAGAACGAACAAATTTCGATAAGATCAGACCTTTTCCTCCACACTGATGAAGGAAACAGACGGTAAACAGACAGTAAACAGGCAGTAAACAGTTTGCAGTGACTCCCTACCTCTCAGCTGACTCCAGGGCTGCAGGTAGAAAACCCAGAGCTGTGACGTCCGGTCTGCAGGAAGAAAGAAATGTTGGAGTAATTCATTTGTTTCCCTTTAACAATAATAATTGTCACTGGGGTGTGTCTCACAGATTGGACTGTGACTCCTTACGCACACACACACACACACACACACACACACACACACACACACCTTTTAAGTCCTTGCAATAAATCATGTAAGATTGGTCATTGACCACATACAGACATTGGGGTGTGTTTGCGTGTGTGTGTGTGTGTGTGGGCTTGTTTTACTATATTCAAAGGGTCTGAAAACCAGCAGCCAACTTTACCTGCTGGGTCTGACAGCTTTGTGGACCCAACAAGTTTAAATGGCTGATTGAGGGTTCAGACTTGGTTCTAGGGTTCATGGTGAGGCGTTCAGGTTCAGGGTCAGGTGAGGGTAAGGAGCTGGGGAATGCATTATGTCCCCATGAATATGCTAAATCAAGGGTGTCTGTGTCTGTGTATTGTCCCTGTAGCCTGTGTGTGTGTGTGTGTGTATGTGTTTGCTGCCTCCCTATTGACTGTGTGTCTCCCAGGCGCTGCAGCTGTGATGAGGTCCGCCCTGTGTTGATAATAAGCTCGTTAATCATGCCAGCTCCCACTCTGTGTCCTGTGACTATGATTATCAACATTGATTGGCTCTGGAGAAAGCAGCCGCTGCCTCTGGACCAATGGAGGCAGAGGTTGTTGGGGTGTAATGGCAGAGCGGACAGCTATTGATTTAAGCATGAGAGGAGACTAAATGGAATCCGACTGTTTTGGCTTGGCACTGAGACAGTTCTCAGTGGTGCTGGTCTGGAGTCTGTGCAGGTTCTGGTTCAGGGTGTCAGAGCAAACTGAAGGCACAGACATTGCGACATTGCGGTTAACCATACAATTTAAATTCTTAAAGATCTTATTCTGTCAGCAAACTGTCATCTGAAATAACTTGACAAGTGTTAAGAGAGCCTGTTCATCTGCTGGAAAACAAGGTGAATGTTAAAGAAAAGCCTGAATTGAAAAAGAATGTAAGGTTTCAGGTCACTGAATCACACAAATTAAAAAAAAGCTCCAACATCACATTTGGGATTTTGAATATGTTTATTTTTTTTAAACTCTTCATTTCAGAATGAAATAGGATTTTGCTTCTAATAGGAAATAAAATATACTAAAGAGAGTCTTCTGGTTAACGCCACAAGCTTCACATAAAGAACCAGTGAAGACCGATGTTTATGTCATGAAGAAGATCACACACAGTACCTAAGGTTAATAATTCCTTTATTTTATTTATTTCATTAATTATTATTGTTCTCTGTAAAACTCATTTCCTACACATCACACACTGTTACTGTCTGTGTTCCTCATCTGTGCCTTTCACATTGTTTTAAGTCTACAGCAGAATATGTCTCGTGTTCTTTGTTATGTTGAACCGCTAAAAATATAAGATGTCTGTGTCGTTGATCTGTGTTCAGCTGATGCAATAAAAACTCATTTAAAGTCACTCATTACTATGAGAACTTTATAAAATGACAGGTCACAGTTACTCTGCTGTGTGAGAAAACAGTGATTTGAAACCAGATCACCACTGTTAACGCAGTACTGAAATGGCTATTTGAATGAATCGACTCTGGATGCAATGACTTAACTGTCTATTGTTTCTATATATCATCCTTTATTATTAAATTAAAATATTTATAATGTAGTCAATGACATAACATGTACTGTCATCCCCAAAGTAATACTGATCATCTGACTGATCCCACACACACACACACACACACACACACACACATGCGCGCATTTATGAAAAGGAAACACACACGACAAATAATTACAATCAACACATAGAGAGTTTAGCTACTGGTTCGTCCTTTACACTGAACAATCTGAAACATCAGTTCATCCGAACCGTTTCACCTTCCTCTGACAGAATCCAGCGCTGGAGAGTTTTTTGGTTTGTGATGTCTGTCTCTGAGACGTCTGCCTCCACCACCACACAACAGTTTGTGACGGTTTAAGAAAGAACATTTAAGACTATGCTCAGTAACCTCGTTAGTTTTAGTTTTACCTGAACTTATTTCTTCTGAAAAAATAGTCCCTGTGTCTGAATATCATGGAATGTGGGCAAACAGAGGTGAACTGCTCCTTCAAACCCACTGAAAGTCACTATGCTATATTCAATCAGGCCTAATATATAAAGTATATATAGCACTTTAAGGTGCACTGCATTCAGATGACAACAGATCTTTGTTGAAGACATGCTGAGTGCTGTTCGACAATCTCTCTCCTCCTCCCCGTGAAATGAGGATGTGGAATTAGGGTGGCCTAAAAAAGACGATGGAATAGAAAGATGAGACTCGAGGGTCCAGTCAAAATTACCTCAGTCTGCTCCTCAAACCAAAGCTAATGTGTCCTCACAAGGCTCACACACACACACACACACACACACACACACACACACGGCCTTGAATAGCTCACTGCATTAGCTTTCAACTGCATCACTGCATCACTTGGACAGGAAAGTTACCACGTGATCTGTCACACACGTTCTCCTCTGAAGAACAGCGCAGAACGTCGATCTTTGTTCTCTTTTCGGAGGTGATCTGAACCGTGTGAGAATCTGAGGACGAGGAACCAGGAAGTGACAAACACCTTTTTTTTTTTTTTAAAGCCCACGAGTGGCTTCTCAAAGCCCTCTGATTTCAAGTCTCTGTTGGGATCAAGAGGTTTTTTCAGAGGGCCGTTTTATGCCGATGTTCTCGATGTAATCGTGCACCTGGTTCAACTCCACTCACCCTCCAGCCTCCCAGTGAGACACCACTCAGCCAAACAGGGCCAGAACCAGCAGAGAAAGCCAGAATTAAAAAGATAGAAGGAGGAAGAGGAGGACACAGTGAGGCCACACACATAAATCCTCTCACAAGTCTGCACACACACACACACACACACACACACACATGTCTGGAAAAACTCTGCTAAACTCTGTTACTCAATTAATGTCTGGTTTTATCTGGTTTTAACACACCTGCCGTCCTCAGCTGGAATTAAAGCCTCACCTCTTTCTTTCTCCCCCTCAGCTGCACACACCCCCCCCCCCCCCCCACCACCCCTGAGTAGCTAAGCTAAGCGCAGTGTGTGGGATTAGGTTGCTGTGGTAATAACTTCCAAAACGCAAAGATTCGTCTTCCCCCGTATTCAAAGAGACTTTAGCTTTTATAAACGGAACTGCCTCAGACTTCACGCACAACTCCAGGTTTTAAACCATGTCTGTCTTTTTTAGTTTCATCGTGTTAAAGAACCGGCGTGGCGTCGTCGTCGCCGTCGTCTTTATTCTTTATTTCTCTGCTGCTGAGTTTTCTGGACGCGACCATGCCGAGCGGGGCTAATGCCATGAACTGTCTTGTTCACTGTTTTCCATAATGTTTTGCAGTTCAAATGGCGGATTGGAAAGTGCTGACATTCCGGTGGCGGATATTGCTCTCTTGCCCGCCAGCGCCCTAAATCCCCTGTTGCGAGGAGTGTGGTGTGAAATCCATTTAGCACAGATTCTTGCAAAAGGCTTGTCATCTCATTGAAGAGATCCCACTGAAATCTGGAAGAAGCCTTTTACTGTAGGTGTAAAAAAAAAAAAAAAAAAAGAAAAGAAAAGAAAAAAAAAAAAAGCATATTTCTCCCCGTCTTTGTCTCTCAGTCTGTTTCTTTGTCTCTTGTCCAGTTTCCTGTGAGAAAGAAGTGTCTGCTGGTGGTAAACAAAGATGGCTGCTCTGTCACGGTGGGGTTAGTCTTTCATAAAACGTGTCAGGAGACTTTACACAGTCCTGGTCCTGAGGCACGGGAACACTAACAGGCATGAGTGAGGGTTTATCATGTCTTTTATTTCAGCAGGAGGAGCTGCTGGTGCATCAGTCATGTTAGTCCCAGCTTGTTACTCTGGTCTCATTGTGACTAAAGAGCATTGTTCAGGTCTGCAAACAGCACCACAAGCTTCCCCTGCGTTTACTCTGAATCGAAACCTTTTCCTCCCACAAAACTGGAAACAAACAAAAAAAAAAAAATCACTAAAAACTGTGCTTTTCTACAAGAGTGGAGACACATGGCCTCAGAAGGAGAAGTCTCTGACATGCTCTCTGGAGTCAAAACCATTCTCTTTTGTCTGAGAGTAAAAGGTCTCGTACAGCTGCTCTTAAAGCAACATCACGGTTTAGTGCAAATTCTCTCTCTAATCAGAAACATGAACGACAGATGACGAACAACCAAGTTTAAAAAGCATTGATTAACCGTGGCTGCATCAGCATGAAGCCTAGTTTAAGCCAATCAGAAGTGGTCCTGATGAGAGTGTGTGTGTGTGTGTGTGTGTGTGTGTGTGTGTGTGTGTGTGTTTCAGGTCTGGATGCCTTTGTGTGCAGCTATATGTCAAACAAAGGGCCGCTACGCCGGCCTGCCTGCCGTCCGTACGCCCAGGCTGGGGGGGAGGGAGGACAGAGATGTGGTCTGGTCTGTGTGTGTGTGTGTGTTTTGAGTGGGGGGATGTGGAGTGTCAGGCCCGGAGTGNGGGGTGGGGGGTGGGGGTGGTGGGGGTTCTGTCTGAAGGAAGCAACCAGCCGTGTGAAATCCTCCACACTGACTCTCTCCTCCTCTCTCCTTCACTCTGACTCCTTTGTGCTCTATTTCTTTCACTCCTCTGTCCTCTCCCTTCATTTTCATCACGACCCTTTACCTTTCACCCTCTTNGAGTGGAGACACATGGCCTCAGAAGGAGAAGTCTCTGACATGCTCTCTGGAGTCAAAACCATTCTCTTTTGTCTGAGAGTAAAAGGTCTCGTACAGCTGCTCTTAAAGCAACATCACGGTTTAGTGCAAATTCTCTCTCTAATCAGAAACATGAACGACAGATGACGAACAACCAAGTTTAAAAAGCATTGATTAACCGTGGCTGCATCAGCATGAAGCCTAGTTTAAGCCAATCAGAAGTGGTCCTGATGAGAGTGTGTGTGTGTGTGTGTGTGTGTGTGTGTGTGNTCTTCTCT